TTTATGTTACTTTCAAAAGATAAATACATACTTGTGTCATGCGTCGGTGATTCCTTTGTAAAATAGGAGCATCCATCTCAAGAAAATTCTTTAGAATCAACAAGTCTTAACTTTAAAATTGGTTGTAATAAGTCCTTTGATATTATTCATTTCTCTGTTAAAATCGCATATAAGAATAATATCATCAACATAGACAATAAGAATTACAAATTTACCTTAAAGATCACTTTAGATTATGGCCATCTTGAAATTTAGAGAACACATATTACTTGAACTTCAAAGAATTTTTCAAATCAGGCTCAGGGGTTTGTTAAAGCCCCTTAATTCCATGTCCTCATATAAAGATTTCTTTAGTTTACAAACTTTATTAGTAACCTATGATGCAGCGACACAGGCACGACGACACGGATATGACACGACACGGACACGAGACACATCAATTATTGAAAATATAGGACACGGACATGGGTTGGACATGGTATTATAGTTTTTATATTTTAAAAATAGTGTATAAAAATTAAATAAGTATATTTTTAAAAGTAATTTAGAAATAATAAGTCATTTAACTATAATTTATGCTTAAAATGATTAATATAAGAAAGTCGATGCCGTTTATCAGTCATCGAGAGAGGAGATGAAAATACCTTCCCTGCCAAGAGAAAAGAAAATGAGAATATTCGATGAATGGGATATTAAGTGCGGGCAATTGATTTAGTGTTGTGGATAGAAAATAAGAAATTTAATTTTTATATTTTAAATAAGTAAAAATTTTAAATACAAGAAATTATATTTAAAAAAATTAATAAAATATTTAAAATACGCATGTCGGATATGCATGTCCAATTTATGTTTAATATTTTTTTAATTGGACACATTTTCGACGTGTCCGACACGTGTCGGAGGAGTGTCAGACACATATCGTGTCAGATACGTGTCAGACACTGCACACCTCTTTGAGGAGAAGTGTCAGTGCATCATAGTTAGCAACTGTAGGGTTATGAAAACCTAGATAAACTTCCATGCATATTTATTCAAGGTCACCATTGCGGAACACATTTTTGATATCCAACAGATATATATGGGCTAATCTAAATTTGTTGCTAGAGACAGTAGTGCCAGAATAATGTTGAGGTTTACTATAGAGGCAAATGTCTTTTGATAGCTAGTTCCATTAGACTGAATAAACCCTTTTGCTATGATGAGCTTAAAGCACTTGCAGCCAACAGGTTTTTTCCTAGGAGTAATTTAATCTTATCTCAAGTCTTACTCTTTACAAAGGCTTCTGTTTCCTCCAAGATAATAATTTTTCATACAATAATTTTTATTGCCTTGTATACATCTTTTTGGAATATCTTCATGAATAAGATTTTGTTAATAATGCAAAAAAGTTCGGAGAGAGAGTAGTATGTGAAATAAAAATGAAAATGGAATGAGTGGTGCACGATCCTTCCCATTTTCTAAAGACAAGGTTTTTCAAGTTCTTCAATTGGTAATTCAGATAACTTGTTACTATGAGAATTCTTTGTGGACAACTCACCTTGCTTATGATGGATATGACTAAATTTCAACGGTACGATGCACTTATCTTCCTATGTTTGTTCAGTCCTCAAAGACACCACTAACTGCTTACTTGCTAGGAACAGACAAATTCAGAGATTTATTTTTAGGATTATGAGGTTCAGTGTTATCTTGAAAAGTAATGACAGACAAATCATGATTTGTCATAATAGTGGAAAAAATGTTTCAAGGTCAATTTCCATTAGGAGCATTCTTTCCTTGAATATCAATTTTGAGAAAAAAGGGTAGTTTCTCATTAAATATTATAGCCATGGAGTTGTAGAAGAGTTTTTTAGAGGTGAATAACATTTATACCCTTTATAATGGGATTAATATTATGTGGATATGCATTTAACGGATTTAGGAACAGTCTTACTTTTCTTAAGGGAATGAATTCATCCAAGGCTTTCAAGGGAAATGTTTGATACAATTATGATATTAGGATAAATATTTAATAGATATTGGATTGGAATTCGATAGTTTAGTATGCGGGAGGGCATTCTATTTATAGGTTAGATAGTAGTAAACACTAGTTCACCCCAAAAATAATTAGGAACATAAGTAGCGAGCATGAGGGATCTACCAATATGAAGAATGAGCATATTCTTTCTCTCAACATCCATATATATTATAGTGTCTTTGCAAAATAGTTTTGATGAATTATTCCTTGGCTCAATAATTTAGTACTAAGGAAAAATATTCTTGAGCATTGTCAATTTTCAACATTGTATTTTTATTTAGAGTTGATTTTAAACTATAGTGTCAAAGTTTTGGAATATTTGAACAACCTCAAATTTTCCTTTCAAAAAGAATATCTTGGGTGGCCCCCAAATGCCATTTGGTTGGATGAAAAAGAATAAAGAGTAAGATGAAATACAATGCAAAAGAAATGTAACGCATTTGAAATATTTATAGTTGTTTTGATAAATGTAAAATAATACAAGTGATTATTATTTTTTTTAATTTGACTTGAGTAAAATAAATGCAGAGTAAAGCCCAACAATGGTGACGGTTGGTGGCCAATGGGCGGTAGCAAGTTATGGAGACAACGGTATTAGTGACTGGTAGTCGATGGTGGAGGCAGTTGGCAGCAAGTGGCAGTGGCCAATGACAAACGAGAGGTTGGCGACAATGGCAGAGAATTTGTAGTGTATTTAGAAATCGACTAAATCTAATGATTTTCAAATACACCAAAATTGAACAAAATGATGGATTTCAAATACTATAAAATTTTACTTAGCATTTCTTTTACTTCAAACCAAACACCAAAATTTTCAAAATTCCTGCATTTAGAATACTTTACACCCCATTTAATTCAAATCCTTAAGTGAATTAGAAAGAAAAAATTAAAATTTTGTGTGAGGGATTGGAATAATGTTTGTCTAATATATTTTAAGGAATTGACAAATTACACATGAAAAATACTTTTGAAGTTTTATTTTTAAAAAAAGAAAGAAAATGTCTCTATAGATACAAAAATTTTGGATGACCAATATGATAATAATAAAACTTAAATTTATCATCTTTATTACTGGTAGTTATTGCAAGGAGAGCTTGGTGCCCTAAAGGAGTGTCACATTTCAGGCGATAGAGCACCAAATAAATCTTAGCACTGCAATCGTGTTCCCTGAATTTAAATCATGAAATTCATGATTATGAGAAAGAAATTAAACATAACAATATTTATCACATGTGAGCATATTGACACATAAAATATTGCAATTAAGATTATCACATGACCCCTAATAATTGTCCAAATTGAATGAATCTTCAACTGTGAATTCCAGTTAGCATTTAATTCCAGCTTTTCTACAATTTCAAAGATGACGTAATAAACAATTGAATCAAACTTCTAGAAACATATTTTATGATTTAAATGAGAATTTGACTCTTAATAGAACACAATGGAGAAAAATGATTCTGATAGGAAATACTTGGGTTCTCAAGTATTTCTAACCCAAACCAGTAAATATACAGCAGCCAACTGCTGTCCACAGCAGCAAAACAGCAGGAATTCGGTGAAAACGCAGCAGGAAATAGGGAAAAGCAGGAGAAAAACACAAGATATTGCTTGTATTTCACTAGAAATCAAAGAAAGCAGCAAAGATACAATATGTTCTTCAATCCGAGAGGAAGAACAACTCTCCACGATCTCCGGCAAAGCCAAGAGCCCAAAGCAAACCCTAGATCTCAAAGAGAAAACTCAAATTCAAGATAATCCCCTAATTCCCCCCAAACTCCTAATTATACAAAATTAATCATAAAGGACAATCATAAACTTCCTAAAACAGCCTTTTACGTTCAAAATTTCCCTCCTAAACTCCCCCTCTCAAGCCTACGTGGATTCACGGCTCACGGCAGAGCCGTTTCCGCCCGTTCGGC